CGACCACGTGTCACAGCAGGGAAAATGGCCGCGGGTCATGTTTGTCACCCGATGCGGAGTTCGTGAACGGAAGCAAAATTTTGCAAACGGTGCTGTTTGTGAACCGAATTGTTCGTGAACAGAAGCATTCGTGAACCAAGGTACCACTGTAAATTAACGAAGGAGCGGAAAAAGGAATTAGGAAATAGAGAAAAAATAAGATCCGTGTAGTATCAATATAAGATTAATTCAGTCTTTAAAGTTTTTATTAAATCTAGAGAAGAGGGAAACAATCTCCATCTTCTCATTTTTAGAGTATAAGGACACTTCAAAAATTGATAATGAATATAATCCATTCCTTAACTCAGGAGAGTAAGTTTCTTTCCATCTATGTAAAAATAATTCTCTTTGCTAAGCACAGACTTGATAAAGCCAAAGTTCTTCATAAAATATCAAATTCCATATTTTAGAAGTATAACCAGTATTAACCAGAACTGTGCTAATACATGCTGTAACTTGAAACCAAAAGGAAGCTATGTCTGAACAAAACCCAATTATGTCAGTCAGAGAGCCTTCATATTTCATGCAAAACCAGTACAAGAAATCTAATATCTAACTTTTTAAAACCATTCTTTGAAGAGCCCAATAAAAATGAAACAGTTTCTTAATGTTTCTTAAATCGTAAGAATGAAGAATCATAAGAATTTACATTCCTTAAAACCAATTTCCAGAATTAGATAGTCAAATCTCTCATTCCACATTTCATTTATATTGCTAATGCTAACCTTCATCCTATATTTTAATTCTATACCGTTGGTTTCACTTCAAATCCAGTGTCTAGAATCCTAGATCCTAGAATTCCGGGCACCTCTGAGGCTGTTAAAGCATCTGGATCAATCCATGTTTCAGGGGTACAGACTGCCAAGCAGAAGAATGATTGAGAAGGGTTAGGCCTTGTGCTAGTGAGAGCACAGCAACCCATGGCCATTCATTTAAGCTGCCCCTCTTTTCAGGCTTCAGCACAAGTCTGCAACAATTGTGTGGTTGCTTTAGAGTCATACTAAGTGTACGGGATCAGCTCCTGAAAGCAACCACACTTTTTCTCAAAACCAACTTTTTGCAGGTTAGTGTGAAAAAAGAAGGGATGCTTTAATGTGCCTGCTTGAGGTCAGAAGCACCAGGTCATTTTCAAAGTAGATGCAACCCTAATTCCCATCTATCTGTAAATTAGGCCCCTTGGAACTCAGCTCAGTCTCTAGGTATACTGACTTTAACCTCCTCATGCTTTAGCTACTTAAGTCACTGAATCATCGGATCTTGGAGGTCATCTAGCCCAGCTTCCTGTCAAGCATCCCTGGCATATGGCCATCCAGTGGAGAAGAGTCCACCACCTTCTGAGGAAGTCTATTCTATTGTTGAATAGTATGTCCAACCAAACTCTCCATTCTTGAACTTCTCTTGATCTTGACACTGTACTTCTGTGATTCATCCTGGGATTGCATTTGCTTTTCTTTGCAGTTGCATCTCACTGCTGGCTCATGTTCAGTTTATGATCCACTAAGACTCAGATATTTTTCAAATGCACTACTGCTCTGTATGGTTTCCCCCCACCATCCTATACTCATGCTTTGATTATACTTTGATTTTCACTTCTGAAATGTACAACACTGCATTTGTCCATTTTTAAATTTTTTTATGCATGTTTATTGTTAACTTATTAAAATACAAAGAAAGTAGAAAAAAGCAAGTATTAAAATACAAAGAAGTGAAAATAGCAAGATAATGCAAAAAAGACTGCTACATTTTATATATACATAGAAAGAGTGAAAAAAAGAAAAAGTAAATTACTTTTCAGTGATACAGCCTCCCCTTCCAGTCCATTTGTATCTCCAACCACTAGCCACAATTTAGTTATTTGAATTTTCCATCAAACATTAGTAATTGTTGTTAGTTTCTATTTGAGTCCTAAAAAGGATATTCCAGATGTCAAAATCTACTTGCTCTGTGATACACTGTACATAACATAAGGGAGGCATTTGTCTCTGTTGAAATTGCCATCTATAGTTCCTCCTCTGAAACTTGAAGCTATTTCCCCCCCTATCTTTTTGTCATCTGCAAATGTGAATATGTGTAAATAAATCATTTATAAATATTTTGAACAGCACAAGACCTAAGACAGATCTCATTCATCCCCCCTGATGCAGAGCCCTTGAAGTATACAGTACTTGTTGAGTATACAGGTAGTCCTCAGTTTAAGACAATTCCTTCAGCAACTGTTCGAAGTTGTGACAGTGCTGAAAAAGGAGACTTATGACTTTGCAATGTTCCCTACTGATTTCCCCAGAAAGTCAAAGGGGAAGCTGGCAGGAAAGATTACAAGTTGCTGGGGTAAGTCTCCCCCATCCGCACACTGTTCCCCAGCCTCTCTGCACTCGCACTGGCCACTCATGCACCCTCCCCAACCCATGTGGCACCTCTCACAGACCCTCCCGCCCCTTGCGGACCCTCCCCAACCCATTTGGCGCCTCTCGCACACCCTCATGCTTCCTCCCCAACCTGCACCACACCCTTCCTGACCCATGTGGCACCTTTCGCACACACTTGTGCACCCTCCCCAACCCACACAGTGCCTCTCATGCACCCTCCCTGACACCCCTGCCCATCCCTTCCCTCCCCCACCCAGCAGCAGCCACTTACCTGCCTGCGGGCCCAGGATTTGCAACTTCCTACTGGCTTCCACACTGACTTTGGTTGTGGGAAGCTGGCAGAAAGTTACCTCATCTAACAACCATGGGATTCAGTTAAAGACGGCAAACAGGACTGCAGGGATTGTTGTCGCTAACCGATGTGGTTGCACTTTACGACCGCATTGCTTAGTGATGGAAATTCCGGTCCCAATTGCCGTCATAAGTCAAGGACTCCCTATAGTTGTTCAACTAGCTCTCTGTTGATCTAATAGTAGTCTAGACAGTCCAGTCTGATCCAGTCCACATTTTTGCTATCTCCTGTAGTAGGTGTCAGGTTCAGCTGGCGCGGCACTGCTAGGAAAACCGGCCAGCCGCGCTGAGCCAATACTACCGCCCACTCGCAAGCCGAGGTAAAAGAGGAAGTAGAGCCGCAGCTGATTAATGGGCCACCTGCGCCCAGTTAACAGGAAACCGCAGAGTGGACGTTTTGTATCCACCCTGATGAGCGGCGCGCGTGAGACAAAGAACAAAGCCGCGAGTCATGGAAAGGAGATCACCGCGCGATCAAGCAAACCCTGGTGTGGCGTGCAACTGAAAGAACCCTGAGGAAACAAGCCCACGCCGGAGGGGCAGGCAATCTAAGACAATGGGATACTGGCTGAACCTGCCATTTGGAACATTAAGGGGGATTATTGGGGTATCGATAATCCGTAACTTGTAACCTGACGACGGGGCGAACCGTGGGAAGGGGAGAGTTATAAATTGTACAACAAAATGTGCCAAGCCAGTCCTGGCTTTGTTTGTAACTGTTGCGTTACGCCTGAGTAAACCTCTTTTGTGAACCACACGTGTCACGGGAGTTTCTCTTGACGAACGGGGCATTCCTTACAGTAGGATCTCATTGGAGAGTTGGTCAAAAGCTTTGCTGAAGCCAAGGTGTGCTTTGTCCACTGCATTTCCCTGGACAACTCAATGGGTCACACTGTCAAAAAAGGAGATTTGGTTAGTTTGGCATGACTTCTTAATAAGCCTGTCCTGGGTCCTGGGTCCTGCCAAGCATTGTCATTTTTTTTCCTAAATATTTTTAATTGGGTTTTCCAAATTGTCACAAACCAACCACTTAATAATTTGTTTTAGAGTTTTCCCCAGTATTAACATCACGCTAACGGAGTTGCAGTTACTGGGTTTCCCCCCAACCTTTTTTGAAGATAGGAATATATGTCCTCCTCCAGTCCCCAGCATAAGTCCATCCTCTACTACTTTATTAAAAACCAGACAAAGAGGCACTGCGGTGGCAACCACAAGCTTCTTCAAGACTCTCGTCTAACTGTTCTGGTCACAGAGACTTAGGCACAGTCATGGTAGGTGGGCACTCCACATCTATTGCTGTATATGCATTTTCTCTGTTTTTCTACTTTATTTCCTCAGTTGGGTGGAACACCTCTGATTTGAAGAACAGCGCCCTCTCCCCATCACCTGCAACCCTCCTCCCATCTTCTCCAAACAGCAGACTCATCCCTTTTTTCTTCCTGTTCCTGTTGACATAGTCCAGCATCCTTTTCTGTTCGTTTTCGCTTCCCTTGCAAACCTGTTTAGCATTTCAGCAGATATTTCTGTGTTTCTTTCTGCAGATATGTTTCCTGCTGTGCCTCTTTGATGATTTCACTCATTTTCCCTTTCCTGTGCATGTTCCTTTTAGCTCCCTGTACATCCTAGTGATTTTCTAAGCCTCCTGACGTTTTATTTTCAATGCCTAATGTGTGGTCATACTTCCTATATGGTTCCCAGTTCTCTGGCATTCTCTTTGACCTGAGGATTTTTTTCCATGGAATCCTGTCCAGTAGTTCTCTAAACTTGTTGAACTGGCTCTCCTGAAGTCAACTGGGTATGACTCTGCTGTGGTTTCTCCCCGGGTCCACACTGCTTTTACTTCTTTGTTCAGCTCTTGGCTATTGGTTAGAATCAATAAGGAGCCAGTCCCCTTTTCTTCAACCTTCTGGAAAATGAAGCAGTTGGCCAGATTACTGAGTTGGTCTGGAGCACCCCACACAATGGTTAATTCTGCTCCTTGTACTCTTATCTAAGTGTTCATGATTGGGCTCTTTGGCTCAAATTCTTGATATCACTACACATGTGGACATTTCCTTCACTTACAGTGTCCTCCCCCTCCTATTCCTTTGCCTTCAGTCCTTGAGGCCCAGTCATGTGTTTCATCCCACCAGGATTTAGAAGTGCTTCCCTGCATTAAGATTTCTAGTTCTTCCTGCTTATTCCGTGCTCCATGCATTTGTATGGAACTCTTGGCTCATATAATTTGTCTTGTTCCTTCCTGTATTTATTTACTCATGACTGGGTGCCTTCATGTCCTGCATATCACTCCTACTGTCCTATTGTTTTTTGAAATCAAACAAAGCCTGTTAAAAGCTTGGATTTATGTTGCTATTATAATTGGCCTGTCTTTCTTAATGGGCTTTTCTGAGAAGGTTCTGATTGGTCGGTGTGGAAGGACATGGTGAAGGTGCAAAGCCCTCCCACACTTTGGGTGATAATGTGTTGTCTTCCAGTTGGTGGTACATAAGAGACTATAGGCTGGATCTAGACTATGATAATAGTACTGGGAATATTAAAATAAAGGGAACTTAAGTCATTATTAATGTTTTATACTAATTTTAATGGGAACAAAATGCAAGTCTGGCTCCACCTGAGTGTACTGTGTTCTTTATTGTGCCAGGTACAGTGTTATATTTTTTGCTAAAATTCCTAAAAGCCAAATTAATGTTTTATATACCACCATTGTTTAAAAAGCTGGAGTGACTGAGAAGGCTTTGTGTGTGACCCGAGGTAAGAACCTCCCTCCTTTTTGTATACTGATAAAAATTTAAGTTTTTCTTCTCATATGCTCTTCCACTAAAACTCATCATGCAAACAAGATATGCTGTACTGACTATTGTTCGCTTTTAACTTCTAACCATTTTTAATCAAATTCTTTATTCTCTCCACAAACAGCTTGTTTGGATTCCTCTTAACTGTGCATTCCAGAAATGGGGGCCTGCCCTCCTGATGGCAGCTTTCACCTGGTGGCTGGTCACTCATGGGCTGCAGAACTGGCACTGAATTGCCACTGATGGTCACTGCTGGACTTTGACCAACCTACATCTCACCCTAGAGGTGCAATTGGCTTTGTTTGTATTTTTAAAGTTGTCTATGAAAAACTGCTTTTTCTATTTAAAGTGTAGGGTAGTGCTGGGTCACTGCTATTTTCATACTTTTTAAAAACAAAATTATTAATATGGGTTTGTTGCTGGATAACTACCTGAATTGCTTGTTTTAAAATATGCCTGTGTGGGTGATTCAAGTCTGTCTTTTATATATTTACAAGATGTCTACTTCATGGAGAGAGGTTTTGGTTTTTTTTTAAATATGGAGTTTAGAAAGATGATAGAAGGAATGCTGGGCATCCTTTTAAATAATATTTGCAGTGTAAAATATTTAAGTCAATTTGTAATCTTAACAACTTAAAAATAAAACTGATGTTCCATTTATAGTTCTTAAAAGTACGATCTGTTTTCTGTGTCTTGGTGGTCTGGGCGGTATTGCAGAAAGAGAGCTTCCCATCCTTGGGCTGTTTTCAACCAGAAATGCAGTGATCTTTTTGCTACTGATGGAGAGGCTAATGCTGAGTCACTTCAGGAAGGAGGCTCACTTCCATGATGGATGTACAAGTCCACACTTAGGTTGCATTATGATTCCAACTCCTGGCAAACCCATGTTTAACTGTGCTTTATTCAGACAATACAATTGGCTGGCACACAGTACAAGTAAAAACTGAGCAAACATGTTTACTTGGACGTGTGAAGAGGAATAATTTGTAGATCTGCCTTTTTGGTATAATCAGAAGCTTCCACTTATAATTTGCTTTCTCTTGGCTGCATTTTCCTGAGCCTGACATACTTCAGTGATGGAATCTGGATTTCTAAAACCACAAAATAGATTATCTGTGGTCTGAGAGTGTTAAAAATAATGTACCTTGACATGCACACTCATTTATTCTGTTCCACTATGGCTTCTGGTCAAATAGGTTTCCATGTTATTAGAAGCATTACAGAAATCTAAGCATACTAAGAGCAGGGAAAATATCCAGTCAGTGAACAGTGGTGATAGCTTCATTACCATTTCCAACTCTCTGAAATAACTAATGCAATGAAAAGTGACTTGTGTCATGTTTAAAAGGAGAGTTATTTTATTTCAAGGAAAATGTGGTGAAACATTACTATTACTGTTTATCTGCAGCAGAACCACAAAGTGGTTGCAGAGTGGGAAGGCTGCATTGTTTCAAGTCACCTCTCCTTTGCCTCCCCAAAAATGCTCCCACAAAATTGCAGGTAAAGAAAATAATTTGAATTCACACCTTTCTCAGTTCAAATGGGCTGTACTGACCTTACCAGAAGTATTCCTAACTCACTGTTCTTCAGGTCAGGGTAGAGCATTCCTTAAGAGATGGGGCTGCCCATCTGAATCGAAACAAGCATTTTCACAGGACTTTTCACAACTTTAAATAGCTGGCACATCTCAAATGCAGTCAGCCTTTTCCTAGACATGCTCCTTTTTTTATGGGCAGGGAAATATTTATTGATGTGAGATATATATCCTGCCTTTTCTCTAAGAATTCAAATGCAGATCACTCTTCATTTTATCCCACAATAACTCTGCTAGGTAGGCTTGACTGAGAAAGACTGTCTGGACCAAAGTCATCCAGGGAGCTTCCATGGCTGAGGCAGGACTAGAACCTGGATTTCTGCAGTACTAGTTCAAAAGCTTAATTCTACATAAATTTATTCCTGTAAGCTACACAGAGTCACTGTGAGTGAGTTGGGCGGCCATATAAATTGCTTAAATAAAATAAATAAGTATATCTTCCAGTTGACTGTGAAGCATATATGAATTTTGCCTTAAGAAATATAAACCTGTTAAGCTTTCTAACATGGCAGCCTCAGTCAGTTCCACATCAGACTAGGCTATAGGGGTGTTGTGAAACCAGACACTCTCTTCCATCTCTTCCTGATCTTCTGTATCAGAAATACAGGTGAAACTCGAAAAATTAGAATGTTGTGCAAATGTTCATTTATGTCAGTAAGGCAACTCAAAAGGTGAAACCAATATATGAGATA